GTGTTTACTTTTAAAATGTGTGACGTTCATCACGGAACTCATTTCTGGAGAAAATCGTGGCTTCGTCAGGGGACGCTTGCTGTGGCCATTTTTCCCCGCGTTATTTTGGTAGCGTGTCAGATTGAGCATGGGTGCCATCGCCAGAGTGAGCTGCTGATCCATCGTAAGGGGTCTGTTATGTTCGCCGTTTCCTCGGCTGGTCTTAGGGTGCGATTGGTTTGTTGCTGAAGAATTTTGCGACTCCTGTGATGGATGCCGGCTGTAGCTGAGTGAGAACAGTTGTGGTAGTGACATTTTGAAAAAGTCCACGTGCCATAACCCCTCTTTAATAAGCGTAGATACGTCCTAGTAATTTTCTTATTCTGTGGCACGACGTTAATCCTCCAGGATCAGAGCGAATTTTAAAACAATTTATCGGATTCTGTGACATTGAAATTCGTCTTCTTTGATTTCAAAACATGCATTCAAATTGTCCTGCTTAATGTTTACTCAGAAATATAATTTTCAAAGTCTGTTTATTGTTAATGAGAACTTACATTGTGAGGTGATTTAATTACGAAATTTATTTTATTATTTACATAAACAATTATTTGATTCTATATTTGATGTGTCATTAGAAAGATAGTAACTAATTATAAATTCATTACAATTTGTGTCATTAGAAAGATAGTAACTAATTAGAAATTCATAACAATTGCCCTCAAATTAACTTCTTTCAACGCATTTATGAAAAGGCGTAAGACAATGACTCTCGAGGATCGACACTCACCTTTTGTTTTTTGAACTGTGAACAGAAATGACTGAATACAACAAAGTCAAGATCCCCAAAGCTTGGAGCTTTGACACCATTCTCATTATCTCAACTGTAACATAAGGATAAAACAGTTAAAAGATTTGAAAAATTAGTTTCCATTGTTTAAAAACTTTAAAAGAGCATTGTTGTCAGCTCAGATAAATGATGACTCTGAATCTATTCAAATGTAACCAGAAAAGACTGATTGTTGATGAAGAAGACATTCCATCGAAAATTTTTGTATGCATTTCTCGTCTCTCTCCATGTTTATGTCATGTGACCGCTCACGTCATCCGCCTGCCGTGTATCTGTTGAACTACTATTAAAAGCAAAGTTCTTACGCTTTGTACGTTTATTTAACATTAAAACGCGAAGCTGTTAACCGTTTGAAAAATACAGAATGCAAAGTTACTGACAAAGTAGACGAGCTGTATATTTATCATTGGGTTTTAGATGCATTAGACTTTTATTGGGTGGAAATAAGAATAAATGCGCTGGTTCCAGATCACTACTGCGCAGAAGCAGAAAATATCTTTCCGCTCCAGAAAGCCCCCCAGGAATTGTGGCCAATTGCGAGCAATCTAGTCGAATTTCTTGATGATCCTGTATTACGCTTAGGCTTATCTTGTGTTGAGAATGCACGTGGCTTACGAGATCGGGGATTTGGGAAAAATGCGACCTCACTCCTGCGTGAACAATTATTAACGGAATTTTGAATATCACCACGGTCTATAAATATTTGATTACACGAAACGAGTCTACGTCTAGCGAATCCGAATGCATCATAATGGACAGCCATCAACGTCTGACTTAATTTTTGGCAGTTAATTAACTTCTCCTGTCTGATCTCGTCTCGTTGAACGTGTACTACGTACAAAAACTTGTGCGAACCACAAGTTATAGACCTCAGTGGACCGGCCTTGTGTTTTTATTTAATTTTGCGAACTTTTTAACGTGATTTAAAATTTAAAAGTGCGTTCTGTATTGTTAGGAGTGATTACAGTTCAGACATTAACTTCATCCATTTTACTTAAGATCTTGTAAGGTAGTATATTTGCGTCATATTGTGAATTAGGTTAATATTTTAATATTTTCCGTCAAATCACAATTTTAATAAGATAATAAAATATATAAAATATTTATTTAAAATAAAACGTGAAATGATATTTTAAATATTTCATATATTTTATTATCTTATTAAAATTGTGATTTGACGGAAAATATTAAAATATTAAGATCTTGACTTAATGCATTAAAACGTTTTGCGTTTAATGGAGTGTTACAATTAGGTCTTTGCGAGTAAATGTATTTGTTTTAAAATCTTCAAATTCTTTTTCTTTTAGAATTCTGACGATTTGTTTATAGAGCATTGTTGTGAGTTGTACATTTGGCCAGTGATGCTACATTCTTGTGTGACCGACGTCGACTGTTGCCAGTTACAAGCAACAATTGTTGTCGGCTTATTAAAACACCTCACCGAACTCGATTCGGCGTTGGGCTCATATGCAATTTCCCTTGTGTCGAGGGGATAAACCATTTATACGAACGTACGAGACATAACCAAGGCCGGCCAGAGGAGTTGTTATGAATCGTGTATGGAATTCTGAAAGCTTAATCACTTGTCACTTATCCGAATTATACTTATTCGCGTTATAAAGAAATATTAATTGTAATTAAATAATTTGAAGGGGTGGAATCATGTTCAGTAAAATGTTAAGTGTCCTTTTCTAACATATAAATCCACACGACCTATGTGTGGATTTACCTACCTTCTACCAAACTATCGTGACAAACACACACACGCGAACTGCTCACAACGCTCTAGTATGCACTGAAATGATGATGATTCCTGCAAAGACAGAGTACTTTATGAAGACTGCTGTCACGTGACTAGAGTAAGAAATTTTTTTCCGTTCCTGTCCCGTGGCTAAGTTTGTATACATTTGACGACAGTGAAGGATGTTATTTAAGGCTGACAGTGTGTATTTATGTGCTGCATTCCTTCCCCCGCCTACGTGTCAAATAATTCATTGTGTTTTCTGTCTACGTGCTCCGTAAAATTATTGTACCACTCACGGCTTTGGTGAAAACAGCCTCAAATATGACGCAGAGCTTGAAAGTTGTCACGCACCCATCAGGATTATGCGTCTCTGACGTCTCAGGCTGTTATACGGGATAATTATAAGCTCGCTTAAATTAAAAGAAACCTTTGCGATTCTATTTTGCGGTGCATTGATCTAGAAAGCCGTGGCAAACATTGGCAATGGCCACCCAGATCACCGGACTTATCCTCTTGGGATTCTCGTTGTGCGAACATGTAAGGTGGAGTCACGTTACAACAAAGGGTTAGTTAGGTAACAATGTGCCGTGGCCTATCATCCATCAGCATTGTTGCACAGTTTATTTCAATTGGAGATCCGTGGTTTTATACATCAGCGATACTTTAAACAATGAAAAAGTGATATAATAATCTGTAGTTTCGTAACGAGAAAATAACTAATTCTGGCAACGTGTTACCAACTTACGGGTTTGGTTAGAGCCAAATTACCCTCGAATTTCATCTGTTACAGACAGAAGTGTATTCTGACTTATAAATTGATTTTTTTACACACATATATCAAATACAGTTGAACTGAATTGGGTTTGAACGAAATGTGACCTAATTAGACGCATGTATTTTTTCTGAAGCTTTGGATAAATCGAGAATCTCTCGTAATCAGCTGGAGGTTTGTTTACTTCTCGTTGTAAGCCAAGTGTTGCTAATTGGCGCGAAGCTCATCTGGTTCTGCCCTTGTTGCGTAAGTCTTCAACACATACCAGCGCGATTTTACAATGGGAGAAAGCACTTTCTCCATTTTGTTGCTGATACAACCGAATTCCCGTGTTGAAGTTACGCTACGTTCATTGCAAACTCTCCCTGAATGAATGGACTCCCCGCCACCTTACTCAAATATCCGCCATTTTGAAAATACAGACGTGAGACATCAGGGTTTGAGATTAATGACTCATTGTCTTACAGCAAAACCCTCCAGAAGCGAATATTGTGGACAAATCTACATATGAAATCAGACAAGTCCTTTTGCTAACAATTTCGAAACCTCGGTCTGAATAACCACAAAACGATTGTCAGACACACTCACAGACGAATAAACAAGGAAATGTCTTTGTTAAGGTTTGTTTGTTATCTGTGCGTATTTAAATGGGTCCCCGATCAGCTTCTTATTCAATTGTTCTCTCGGGTAAAGGCGGTCGGAACTTGTAGATGATAGCTACTGTGCAGTCTTACTTTGAACGCGTATATGTCTGTCTGTCCGTGCTCTTTAATCGTAAATATTGAGACAAATTAATTTTCATGAACCCCAGAATATAGCCTACAATATGGTTCTGAAGGTGACTTTATATTTGTGCTATTTTAAAAAAAAATCTTACACAAATTCAGGACCTTATATTAATGTTGCCTGTCACCTGTCTCATTAGTTCGCACGGTCGTCATGTGGACTTGTAGGTAGTCGGCGTTTCGGAGGGATAAATTGCTTCCATCTTCAGGGCACTGTGTTAGTCGCAAATGTATCTGCCTACAGGTTTGTACGGCCTCCTGACCCAGGAGAACAATGGCATGACTTTAAATCAATTTCATGAAGTGAGTGCGGTAATTAAGCTGTCGTCGTGATCCGTTACGATGTCGCTCGTTGCCAGGACTACGGAATTAGGGAGACGCTGGCTGGCGTTAAAACAGTCCGTCATGCAACAATTGCCAGTTCGGAAAATATTAGCCTAGTCTCCTGGTATCAACACAGTCATTATTCTGCTACAGATATTTCCTCTGCCTTGAAGTTTCAAGATCCCGCCTCTGGACCAATTCCGAGCCAGATGCGTCTAAGATAAATGTCATTATTATCCTCTCATCTGCCTGTCTCAGGTCCGGTTACTCTCTCCCCTTAGCTTACAACCACGAAAGAATCAGAATCGATGTTTTATAATCGAACTCCTACCTGAAAAGTTAGGTTAGGATTTATTTGTAAGTGCAAGTATCGGGCGGTGTGTGAAGGAGAATCGTCTAGAAAGCAACGACAATGGCCCCGTTAGCGGCCCAGTTCCATACAGAAACAAGTCTCACCCCGGATCAGTAATGGACTAACAATGGCACGACCGTGTAAATATTAATTGAACGACAATGGACGCTCAAAGAGTCTAATATTATGCCTAGTGCCACGTTACGCGGCAAGCTGCAATTGCAACCGAGTAATACCTGGGCGCAAAGTCAGACACACGTTTTGTTATGGAAATAATTCGCTGACGAGATGGAAAGTGTCTTTTCTCTCTGCGACAATGGAAACCGCGTTCTGGTCGAGGGACCAGCGGTTGATGTGTGTTTGTCCTTTACCTTCGCGTCGTTATTCAATTGTCTGAGTCCACGTGAGCGTTACAAAGACAAAAGCTTCCACGAATTAGTTGCCAGAATCTTCCAATTTGCCTCCCAGATCGACTTTTATTTTACTAAATAATAAATCACTTAAGTCCTGGCTTTCACTTCCTTATTACCTCACGAATGTCGTATTTTAATCGTAATTTTCGAGTGCAGACAATGTAAAGTTAATTTACGATAACTATCGATAATTGAAATAGGCCTTGATGAAAGCAACAATGCTTGGTGAGATTTCATGTTCTCACGGTGACGAGTATGAACCCTGCAGTCTGATGGATATTGACCGACGTTTCAGAGGAGTCCTGATGATGGAGGAAGTAAGAACCCTGAAACGTCGGTATACTATCAGACTACAAGGCGTAACAAAACAGAAGACGGACATATTTAGACTCCCCGCCTTCGGAACCTTAAATATCATCACGTAAATGTGTTTTAACATGAAATGCATAACTTTCTATAAATTTAAGAGAGATGCTGTGATGAATTCATTCATTAGTGACGAGTGAACTGATGGTAACCTGGTGGCCCGCGAACCACTACCGGCTCGCAAGTATAGTTTATCCGGAACGATATTTTACAATTAGCTTTTTTTGTTTCATTTTGAACATGAGGCCTAGTGTTTGTGTTCTGTAGCGTCTGGGGGGGGGGGGGGGGTTGCTTGGATATAGGTTCATCGATCGCTGCGTTCCTCTGAAGATGGAATGTGCAGCTCAGGTGTGTGGGGCGTCACGCTGATGTGGTGACAATAAGGCCCCACATTCTTTTGTCAACTGTCCGCGTGGTTGGCCACAAACAAGAGACTCATGACAGACGAAAGTCACAACAGAAAGATCTTTGTCGTAAGGGACAGTAACAGCCCCCCTTATATAAATATGTTCCGTCAGACACCGAGCGCCAGTCTGTGTTGCCTTCTGTCCAGTATCACGCAAAGACGCATCGGATTTTTTGACGGAATTCGCAAGTCAAAGTAAGAAAATTTCTTTAAACTTACTTGAGAACTAGTAAAATATTGTTTGAGCTCAACAATGAACGCGGTCGAAACTGTGTTCTACCTCCGTGGTCGACTTTTCATTCCTTATCGATTATCGATAGTTGTTCGTGATGTGTTACGTCATTGTTTCAGAGATCGACGTATTCCAAGCAGCATTTATAGTTTTACTGTTTCATCTCATACACTGCCTGACTTGGTCCTTTTGATTTATTATGTTACAGGCGATGGGTACTGCCGTCATCCTCAGTGTAACCTTACTTCTAGTAGCAACTGATCTTTGCCTGTCTGCTCCAAAGAAATATGAAGCTACAGAGTGAGATTTTTGCTTTAAATGTTAAAATGTTTTTCGTTCTCATTTGTAGTAATTAGACAGATTTAATTGTAATGTCAGATTTACTTAATCAGCCCCTGCAGACTAAGTCTAGCAAATGCCTTGAAAGACATCGTATAAACATATGTACCAAGTTTAGCATATATATACCTCCACATCGTAGCGTTTCACCCAGTGTTACATAACCGTTGTGACTGATTCAGTGTCATTAAATAGGATACTATCTCTGATTTGGTAAACTTTAGTGCTGACCTTCAATATCAAATGTGAGGTTTGAGAATCTCATGGTGGTAAAGATGGGCTTTTTTAATTTTAATTTTTATTAATTTTTAATTTTTTTTTTAAATTTATTTATCTATATTTTTTTTGGGGGGGGAGGTAGGTTTTGATGCCTCGCTGAAACACTGGTCTCTGACTTTCAGTCTACGTGGCGTTACTACCCATAACACCAGCGTCGACATCTTCACTGCTGTCAGAACCTCGAACCTCAAGGATAAATTAATTGCGTAAAAATATAAAAATGAAGCCCCGCTCTCACATACGCTGCTCCGTGCGTTATTTCTGTGTTTCAGGGGGTTTCTGCCCAGTCCCAGCAGCTACTTCCTCCAGTCGGGTGATCAGATCGCAATGGAGTCCACTCCAGACAACCGCACAGCGATACAGGAAAGAAGTCACGTGACGGCAGAGTCAAGCAACGCCATAGACGAGAGGCAGCAGGAACCCAGGTTTGGGTTCCTGACCTATGGGGCCACAGCAGTCCAGGTAATTGTAGCGATCTGGTTAGAGCAGCGTATCAGCGTTATCAGCCTTTTGCATTGGTTCAGTTTTAAACCCAAATGTAGTGTACAAGGGCCCCAAAAGCTCAGGAATCAGGTCGCAAGCAACTCGCCACCAATAGCCTGCTCTACATGAAGCTTCCTAAAAATGCGTGCCCTACCGATACGCATTAAAAGACGGCTGTCTTCTGGGTTGTAGCGCCGTGTAATCCGCTAGACGTTTACTGATGTTTCAGAGGTCCAGGGCGATGATGAAGGCAGCAAGGACCTCTGATATGTTGGTAATCTTATAGCGGATTACCCAGAAGACAGCCACGAGAAGCTCAAATCCAACAACGCACGTTTGTCAAAATGCTGGATGAAGTTCAACACCGAACTCAACTCGCTCTCTGGTGCGGGATATTCTTTGATAAGCCGATTGTGTGCCGAGCCAAGGATGACACAGAGCGTCTTGTTTGTTTTGTTTTCCAAGCAGAATCCAGGTACGACAGGTCTGAGCAGTTTGAACGGCCAACTCAAGCTGGATCTTGGCGGAGTCGTGCTTGGCGCCATAATTGGCTTTGGAGCTATCTTTATCCTCCCCAAGATCCTTCACGTGTTTAATACCGGGCATGACGGTACCACAGGTTTTGGCAGTGGCGGCGGCGGCGTCGGCGGCGGCTTTGGATACCGAAGTAAGTAATTATGCGTGGTTTGATCCAAGTTGCCTTTAAAACAAAAATGGCGTGTTAATTATTCTTTAAAATAAATGACAGAGCGAGTAGAAACCAAATGCAATTCTGTCTACAGGTGAAGACGAGAAAAATACGGGAATCATGGACGTTCTGTCTCGAATAGACGAGACGCTTGCCCATTATAATATTGACTCGTCATTGTGTATGCAGAGAGCAGTTTGTACTTACGTGAAATTGGCTTCAGAGAAGGTGACTGACGGATCAGGAAACAATTTGGATGCGCTTGTAGATTCTGTAGCAGGGTGAGTAACTGCAGATTGCAAGTAATGGCTATCAGATGCGCGTAAGTCTACACATCTCAGCTGTCTTGCTTCGCAAACCGTGCGTAATTATAAATTGATTTTGATTTCTGCCCTAGAAGTTCTGTGGTGAATTTCATGCTTGATGGAACAAGTATAAAGCAGGCGGTGGAGATGGGACGGAGTGGCGGAAACTGCGGCGCGATCTATGCGAGATGTCCGTTCACCAAAGAGTCTCTCTTTGCTGCTGTCAAGAGTCTCATGACGGACCAAAAATAATGAAAAGGATTAAGTTATGTTTTTGTTAAGTTTTTATTCAGTGGGTGACGTTGTCTGGTATGTTATTGGTATAATAATTCATGTTTCGGTAAATTACATGTTACACGCGACAGCCATTATTTCTCTAAGGGAATTTTGCATTTTTGGTTGGTATCAACGGAAATTAAAATCTTAGCCTGCATATTTTCGGAAGGAAATTGCAGTGCTCAGAATGTCATGTGTGCTTAATGATTTTCAAAACTAGTAGTCTTATAAGCCAGAATTTTCTATAAAAGGAAAACCATCGTGTATAAATGCACGTCTTTCCTTTTTCATATCGCCGACATTCTCGTTATTGAAGCAGAACACTGCAGTTCGCTGTTTATGCTTATGTTTGAAACATTCCGTCATACAACATACTTCACAAAAAAAAAATTTAACTCATTCTAGGACCTGTGTTACGATTTTGTAAATAAACATACTTACGTCTCCAGGGAGACATTTTTTTTCTTAAAAAGTTACTAAGATATAATGCACACTAAATTGTTTTCAAGGTGTTTATCATTAATGAGTCTGGTATTAAAATTACTTTATACTTTTCAATATAAATAATTCTTTCACAACTGGACTGTTAATTCCTTCATCATGAAGGACAGGAATGAAGTGGGAAAGAGACATACATAACCAAATATTTCTTAGAATTTCTTCTGATATTTTATTTTAAATGGTTAAAAAAATAGACTATTCATGAGTTAATGTCAACAAGTTACTGTAATTCTTGATCTGGTACACTGTATAAAAGATTTTCTAATTTATTCTGTAAGAACACTCAAGGCATATATTTAGGACTATTCTTCAGACAACAAAGATGCTAAGAATGAGTAATACAGAATACATGACTAAGATTAAAAGATGTTCTTTCATTACCATGATAGCTGTCATTGGTCTGGCAGAAAAATATAACTAGTCGAATACAGAGTATTCTTTGAAGGTATATATATTTATAGACATGTATATTTCTGAAGAAAATAAAATTAACCATTACATTGAAGATGGCTGCCTTCTGATATGTTGAACTGTGTAGTTTGGTAGATAATGACTGATGTTTCACAGGACCTCGTTGCCTCCATCTTCAGGATGATGCATGGAAAAGTTGGGTTAGATATTGGAGCAGGTTGGACAAGGCAGAGGTACTGAAGTGATATTTGTGCATCAGATATTGATTTTACACTCAATTCATGAATGGGCAGATTATGATGTAAAGTAATACTGATTATGTGAAGTATTTTGACCATTCACTTTGACTATGTTGTGATTAACAGTTGTCCATGTATTTCAGTGACATTTTCAGTCATGTGTACTTTAATGTACCATAGCAACTTAATGTAGGTTATGTTGAACCCCCTATAGGAGACTGTATTATAAATTTAAGACAAACATCATTTGCTTCCCTTTTGAAAATTAAGTTCAGTAATTATACAGAATTATATTTTGTTGTATCAAATCTTAGACTTAAGATGTATTAATTGCTCAGAAAAAAAAAACTCTTATGAACCTGTAAGTTAGTAAAGAGATTATGTTATTTGTTAATAGAAAGTATTTATAATTTGAAATGTAAGTATTTCAATGTGTTAGCATTCACCATTTTCTTATTATTATTCTACTCTTAGATGAGAAAGCAGTCCGTGGTGGGGTTGGCACTCCATGTACGTAAAATGGACTTGCAAATGGAAAGTATTACCATATTTTTAGAAGCCTAAATAATAATTTGAACTTTATAAAAACATGGTGACAATATTTTTATGTTGTACTTAATAAAATTATTCTCCTACATAATCAATGTGCTGCAGTACTGATTGTTAATCCTAATTTTTGTCTGATGTAGTAAATTGTAACAAATTTAAATTTAAATGCAGTGGGGCAAGAAACAGTGTGCCATAATTAAACATTCTGAAAGGATTGATTTGCATTTTATGTTGAAAGGTATATAATAAATTCTTTGAAAATATAACGAAGTTCAGATATCCGAGAATGATTTCAACAACTCAAAATTCTGTTTGTGGAGAAATTAAAGAGTTGATTTAATTCATGGAATGCTTTCTACATTGCAGTTGAGTATATTTTGACTGCTATAACTGTAATGAGAGCAAATCCTGACCTGAGATTTGAACTAAATATATGCAGCATATGAAGCAGTATTGGTAACCACTGTACTACATGCAATAACGGCATTAAAACTTCCATAACTTGCATATTCAATGTGGGAGTAACATATTAGTGAGGTTATGTATACTTATTGAAATTAAAAAGTTTATAGAATCCAACAATGTAATTTATCGTCCTTAGGAATATAAACGCAAGAAAATTATTATCTCACATTACGTTATCGTGGCAGGAACAAGCTAACATTAATATAGGAATGACACGAAATTCGAGATAATATGGTCTAAATGTTAATGCGATTCAAATTCTGAGCGCCCATTACTTATTGGTGCGCGACAAATGTTCAATTCATTAATTACATTTACGGAAACAAAACGGGAGATAACTAATTCAGGGAATGAAGACTTTAAAATTGTGTAACAATCTGAATTCTTTACTCGTACTCCCAACTGATGGAAACATAACCTATACACAGCCTTGCAAAACATTACCTTGTACGTCAGTAATGTAACTTTCCCCACCAGAGTGCAGATGGCGTCTATTAAGGATTAAATGGGTGCTTGAAAATTAGTCTGTCACAAGACACTGGTTTATCGTTCATTACCGAAAAGAGTAACATTGTGTACCGATCAAAATGAAAACTAGATTTAGCACTTTTGACTTGTTATGTACAGCAAGGGAACTACAAAAGTAAGTTGTACTTGTCGATGACATCGACATCATCACCCTCGTGATAACCTAAGACCTAATTTTTCGGTTACCATATTTCTTGTTCAGTACGTTATAGGTGACGTTTGTGAATTTATTTCATTCAATGCAATTATAAATCTTTTTATGATAGTTATATATCTGAAGAAACAAAAGATCCTTTGAAATTAACAGTGTGGGGTTAGTGTTAAATTTTTGCTGCCACCATCATCAGGGCGATAATGAAGGCAACAACGACCTCTGAAACGTTGGTAAACTTCTACCATACTACACAATGCTGCAACCCAGAAGACAGCCACTTACTACTCATTGCCATGATAACCTAATATCCTACTTATATTTTTACTGGTCAGTAATAATGTACTGTGTACTTAGAAGAAGTGGGGTTTGATTGTGTTTAAGAATTTAGTGGCACTTGTTGACGCTGGTGAAGGAATTAAGATCATCTTGTTTAGAGCACAAAATAAAAAACAGCTGCACCACAAAAAATTGATGTATACAGTTCATTTTCTTAGAAGTAATCAATGAATCAATGTAGCAAGGAATATGAAATTTGGTGTGTGGTTAGATTGTGACAGTATGTTCATATTTTATAAGACACATTTTCTTTTGAAAGTCTGTACTAAATTAGTAGAACTTATTCACAAAAATTCATTGTTTCTACTAGCCTGAGGAAGCATGTGACATATCAAATTCTCTTTGAAAATTTTGATTTAGGTAGAAGTTAACTTATTACATAGAACTGAATTTTTCTATTGTTCTGCAGGTTGATTGGAATGCGTGTTGCCCAGGTATATGACATAGATCATAAAACGTACTTAATAAAACTTCAGAGAACCGAAGAGAAATGTGTGTTACTTCTAGAGTCAGGTTGTCGGTTGCATTCAACTGTATTTGAATGGCCTAAGAATGTTGCACCCTCAGGGTTCAGTATGAAGGTGAGTGGTTCATTACTGTAGCACATTTATGCTGTTAAAAATAGTAATGAGGGAAAAAATAATTTCCTCCCATGTTTGTGCCTCATACAGATGCGTAAACATTTGAGAAACAAGCGCTTGGAGAGCTTGACGCAACTGGGGGTAGACAGAATAGTGGACCTGCAGTTTGGTTCCGGTGAAGCTGCGTACCACGTGGTACTGGAGCTGTATGACCGCGGAAACATAGTGCTCACGGACTGTAACATGATGATACTGAATATTCTGCGACCCCACGCTGAGGGTGAGGAGGTCAGGTATGATTGAAGTGTTACTTCTCTGACTTATACATTTAGTATTTTGAGGGATTGTGCATGGTTTTCTTTTGGAACCTGTTTGTAAACTGCCTGTTTCCGTCCATCTGTCTGTCCATCTGTTGCCCCGTTTAAAATTTGCTGTGTGTTTCCAGTTGGTTGCATTGCAGGGAGCAATGATGGTTGAAGAAATTCATTCTAAGTTTTTGTGTGATTCCTAAGTAAATATTAACAGCCGAATACTGATATTACTTTGTATTTGTTTGGTGGGTTGGCTTTCTTACATGCTGGAAACTTTTTGATGATATCATTATCTTTGTGTGCTTTCCATATGTAAATGTAATTGACATGCGTTTGGTATGATGAGAAATCATTTGAATTTAATTTCGTCGTAGAAGACACACAAATGAATGCTTTTAATATGTTAGTTTTAATTCCCGTAGTACTTGAAGTACTTTTGTTATTGTGTCTGTTAGATTTGCGGTTCGAGAAAAGTATCCATTGGATAGAGTGCACCAACGTGAAGGCCCGCCAACCGCAGCAAAGGTGCATAGTATACTGTCAGCTGCCAAACCAGGGGACAGTCTCAAGAAGATTCTTATGCCCCACCTTGGTATGTAAATAAGCGTGATTGGTTGTGTCACAGACTGTTCCTCGTTTCTCACTGCCAAAAACGTGCGTTCGCTAATTTATTTGTAACATTTGCGTTTGGCATTGATGCACACTTTCACCTGTTTTATTCAGTCTGTATTTAGACTAAATTACTTGCAGGTTGCTGAACGTACTGGAAACACGCTTAGTGGGTTCCACGTCCTGTACAGTGAATAGTTTTTGAGGAAATTAATTATCAGTCACTCGTTGGATCATTCCGTCTCCCCGCCCTTTAAAGACGATGCGCGTCTCTGAATGTGATTTCTTTTCAGATTATGGTCCAGCAGTGATTGAACATGCGTTACTCAAGGCAGGATTCAACGCTGGCTGCAAGCTTGGTAAAGGATTTGATTTGGATAAAGACGCACCAAAACTGTTTGCAGCCCTGACAGAAGCAGACCACTTGTTAGATCAGGCTTTACAACAAGAATCAAAAGTACGGCAAGAAGTTATTTTTACATGATCTCAAAATTCTCAACAAAATTCTGTATAATGGTAGAAAGGTGATTTAACCTGAGTGAGAACTCAAATTAATATCATATTTAATTACTTAATTCACATGCATTTTTTATTACATATTATGATGACAAACCTGGGCATGTGATTTATGTGAGTGTTGACAACCAATTAAAAATGTGCGCAGAACATGACAGTTCTCTTGTGTTTGCTAGAATTTGACCTTTGGCATTCAACCAAGATAACTAAAGTAACAATGTTAACCAAAATTTTGAAGATGGGGGTGGTATGTTCCTCTGAAGTATTGGTGTCTGCGTACAAGTCTTCGCGGTGTTACAGTTCAGCAGACGAGTGTTGTTACGGTAGCCTGAAGACTTCGCAACCAATGATGGAACTTTTCACTTATAGCAATTATCGAACTGCAGTAGGACTGTTTCTCGGTGTATTGGGCGAGTACGTAAGTTGACAAATGTTGTCATTCTAGGGTTATATCATACAGAAAAGAGAGAAACGTCCTCTGCCAGATGGGGGTGAAGAAGACTTTTTTTCAAACCAAGAGTTTCATCCAGTGGTGTTTGAGCAGCACGCTGGATTGCCTGTACGGGAATTTCCCAGCTTCGATATGGCTGTTGACGAGTTCTTCTCTACACTTGAGAGCCAGAAGATTGACATGAAAGCCTTGCAGCAGGTATTGGCACTTACACGTGCACATTAATGCATCATAATGTCTTACATCATACACTTAAAGTTTTTGAGCTTGGATCTGCTTCCATATTTATGGAATTTATTATAAAGTTTCTTGTGATTCTTGTCTGGGTGTTGCTCTGTTTATGTTACGAGTGTGTTCTGATGAACCGGGTAGCTCAGTCAGTATATTGACTGACCGTGGGCTGGACAATTGGGGTTCAATCCCTGACAGGGGCAGAGGACTTTTCTTGTAGCCTCTGGGGCCCACCCAGGCTCTTGTCCAATGGGTACCGGGCGTCCTTTCGCCCCGGGGGTAAAGCGTGGCTAGGGCGCGACGCTGACCGCTCACCCCCGTCTAGTACCAAGGTTTGAAAATGAGTAGGAGCTATACGTCCTCTCCCCCCAAGCGCCTACATGGCATATAGCGAAAAAAAATTAATGGGGGGCTATATTCTGTTGGTCTTGTGCCCTGAATTAACTTAGCTGATCACCTGACAAGATTTTTACAGTTTATGAAACATCAATATGTTTTGCCTATCTGTAAGTTCTGGAGTACCAAAATTTAATGCGTTGAAAAAGGTCGCTTTTTCCGTCAGTCACTTTACTTTAAAGTATGAAGGAAATTACTTTTTATTTTATACCGTGAAATGACAAGTTACATTCTATTATGAACTGATCTGAGACACATTTTTTACAGGAGCGTGAAGCTATGAAGAAACTTTCAAACGTGCGCAAAGATCATGACCAAAGATTGATGGACCTCACACGCACGCAAGAGACGGATAAGCACAGAGCGGAGCTGATCTCTAGAAATCAGCAGCTTGTGGACAATGCAATCCTTGCTATACGCAGTGCGTTGGCCAACCAGCTGCCGTGGACTGACATTCAGAACCTGATAAAGGAAGCGCAAGCCAAGGGAGATCCTGTGGCCTCTAGTATCGTGGGGCTTAAGCTGGAAATAAATCATATCACAATGAAGCTGAGGTGCGTTGTGGTTGTAACAGTGAGAACCATGGTTCTTATTCTTGGGGTATCTCATTTCAGGCTGAGATTGGATTTGTTTGTTGATGTGGTTTTTATTCTGTCTTCATACTCGTTCGTCATACCTTTTCTTACGTATAACATTTTGTTTGTAGATTGTTATTATTTTGTTTTGTTGGAATATCTCTGTATTTTGCTGACAGAGTTTAATTATGTTTCTCGTGATTCTCGCTGTAAACAGCATTTATTTCCTTAGACGTCATTAAACAGTTAATCTTTGCAGTGAAGTGTTGTTTTTTTCTTTGAAGTGTGAACTGAATCTTTTGATACGCTTCAGATCGGCTTTAGGTTTCGCCGTTTTATTTCAGGGATCCGTATGCCGAGGAAGATTCATCGGACGTGGAGGGGGACGGTGACAAGATGGAGCTGAAACCGATGCTGGTGGACATTGATCTTGATCTGACTGCGTTCTCCAATGCTACCAAGTAAATTCAATTCAATTCAATTCAATACTGATGTTTTGTATAGTATCTGGCTGTTTACTGAATTCTTATTTCTTTCATATGATTTTAAAGGGACAATTGAATATAAATTAGGTTACGAAAAATGTGATAATTCTACATGCACCTCAGATTTCTTCCTTCTGCTTTTATTACAAAAACTGGCGTGTTATTATATTCATAAATTAAAAAAAAAACATTTGTAATCAAACAGAAATTGATTCCGTCATTTCTGGGAGAACAGTATTAGAATAATTATGTTTTCAGTACTGTACCCCATATATTGAAATCCGTGTTTAGGTACTGTCTGTATTATACGAAAGCCAGTTTAATATTTCGTGTTTTCTTGTGGTCACATTTTTGTGATATGTTTCAAAGCAGAAACCAGTGTTACAGATGAACCTATGAATTTAGTATTGCAGAGCAACATTCTTTGTAAAAGAAAAGGAAAGAATAGGAGAAAATTACACGTTGAGGAGCTTCCCAAGAAGGACTCTGCTGTGTGGAATTACGTGATGAACCATTGTCCATGTTTAATTTGATGTAATGGTTTGTCTTTCAGATACTATGATAAGAAGAAAAGTGCCGCTAAGAAACAGCAGAAGACACTGGAGTCGCAAGGTAAAGCTCTGAAGTCCGCTGAGAAGAAGACGAAACAGACTCTGAAAGAAGTTCAAGCTATGACGAACATCAGCAAAGCGAGAAAAATCTTCTGGTTTGAAAAATTTTTCTGGTTTATCAGTTCTGAGAATTATCTAGGTAGGTGTGAGTGCTTTTACGTGCGTTTTGCTAGGGTCTTGAAGGTTCTTGTTGTCCGAATCATAATTTTTCTTTGGATCGCTTCTGGTTATGAAATGGCGTGCCGTAAATGTGCTTTAATCTTATAGCATTTTGACTTCAAGAAGTTTTTCTGGGGAAACATCTTATAGCATTTTGACTTCAAGAAGTGTTCTCGGGAAAAAAATGATCGTGTAAATATAAAGTTTACACCTTTACATTAAAATTAAAATGGTATTTGTTTTAAGGAGTTCTCTTTATCAGAAATTGATTTGTTCTTTTGATAATAACATGGAACTTCATATTGACCAGTGATTGGCGGGCGGGACCAGCAGCAGAATGAGCTGATCGTGAAGCGTTACATGCGGCCGGGCGACATTTACGTGCACGCTGATATTCAGGGTGCTAGTAGCATCGTTATCAAGAACCCCGCAGGGGAACCTGTACCACCGAAAACACTGAATGAAGCTGGTTCCATGGCTGTCTCGTACAGGCAAGTACAGGCAAAAGTTTGATTGTAATGTTCTGATTTACACATTATTCTTCATTATGCAAAAATAAGTCTCTCTGTTATAATATTGTGTGTGTTAAACAGGAAGTTCAGGGAGATCACATGATACTTTTCTTTAAATTCTTCAGTTTACATGGTGAGGTTACGATTGGCTGTAAGTCAGGCCTTTTATAGTGTTTAGTGGTCCATATCTGTGCGTAGCCTCCAGTAGAACAGTTTCCAACGATGTTAGTTATAGTCTTGTGACAATATGTCAGTCGATTCAAAAGTTGTTACAGGTTGACGGACACGTGGATCCGATGATAACGTAATCAAAAGAAATGTTTGTGTTATTTAAGATGACTTATTATTGAGGGGCATTTAATAAATATGTGTAACAAGGGTTTATTGTGCCTGTTTAGTGTTGCCTGGAGCGCGAAAGTTGTGACAAATGCGTGGTGGGTGGAGAGTAGCCAGGTGTCTAAGACAGCCCCCACTGGAGAGTACCTGACCACAGGCAGCTTCATGGTCCGGGGCAAGAAGAACTATCTGCCCCCCTGTCACCTTATCTTGGGCTTCAGCTTCCTGTTCAAACTAGACGACAGCTCCGTGTTCAGGTGAGATATGATGGTGTTAATGTTTAGGTTGAATATTCAAATAAAGTTGAGCTTTGTTTCATCGCTCTGGAAATTCTGTTGATTCCAGACATAAAGATGAGAGGAGAGTCCGGGGAGCGGAGGATGATGCGTCTTCTGTAGCCACTATAATGGATGTCATGTCCATAACTACATCAGAACAAGAGGAAGAAATTGAACTGGTAGACACTGAAGATGAAGGTGAGGAAAATGGTAAGCTGTATCAAGTTATTCTATATGGCAGAATTAAAGGAATCCGTATTATTTTTTTGTTGTATTTTGTTAAATATGTGCTGTACTAACAGTTGTTTCAAATCAAAGTTTTAGAACTCGGCACTCCCTACAAGTGGTAGATTTTGAGAAACATTATTTTATTAATTTTTTATATAAAATTCATAGCGACCTTTGTTCCACCTGTTCATGGTGGTATTCCTGGGTTACGATGCCATGCTGACTTTGTCAGTTGGTACTAATGTCTCAGAAAGTTATTCTGTCTTTGTCTTCAGGGCATCACAACCCAAAAGATCGTCACCGACATTTCCACCACTATGAGAATCTGAAATTGTATTTATCCCACCTTCTTATTTTGGTCCATTTCACAAGTAGACAGTGTTTTATCGGTGGAACTTTCACTTCGTAATTGTCCCTGACACTGCACTGTTGCCGTCACTGAGTCATCTTAATTATTGTAATTGTGTTCTTGATAAAATTCCTTCAACTTCTCGTTTGTACAGTTCACAAATATTCGTCATTGCCCAGAATGTGCCTTCATTTTCTTACTATGATATGCGCTTCACTTTTTCCACCTTAATACTCGACGTTAAAGTAAGATTTTGTGTTTGTTTCATGTGATGGTGGGACAGAAGATAATTCGGAACTTTCAGATGTTAAACTGAACGACGAGAATGAAGAAGGAAAACGCACCAGGAGTAATGCGAGCTCAGAAAACAATGAAGAAACGGAGGACGGAAAGGTGGAATTTCCTGATACAGAGATAAAAATTGAACACGTCAGAGGTGATCAGTAAGTGTGACGTCCTTATTTGTCTAAGTGTGAGTTTTTGCGTGGGTCATTTTTAATAAGGGAAGAAGGAGGGAGGTGGATAAGACTCGATTACAACTCAGTCGAGTAGCGCTGCTATTCTTATGGCAGGTGGTGAGAGACTACAACCGCAGTTTCTCATGAGCAAAATAAAGTTTTCCTCGTATATTCTTTGTTGCAATGACTGCCCAAAATATCCTCAAAGTTTCACACAGTACCATGTTACTAAACGCACGTTCAGGTTGTTACTCAGCTGCGTGTACTGAAACTTCTTTGTCTTCACTGTCGGCATGTTTTGCCCTATCGACAGAATGAGATCATGCTCTTGTATTGTTTATGTATCCGTATTCCCACTGTCTAAACTAACATTTATAATTCATTTCCTTCTTCCATGGGTTTATCCATACATACTTAAGCCTCTCTTCCCGTAAACAATGAAGAGAGCGGATTTATCCATACATACTTAAGCCTCTCTTTCTGTAAACAATGAAGAGAGCGGGGTAATAATTTGAATTAACTGCTAATTTGTATCCTTCACCAAATAATATCAGGAAGATAAAATCAAGGAGGATAGGATGGGCAGGGTAGGTGAAAAATGTATGCAAAATTTTGGCTGGAAGACCTGAAGGAAAGAGACCAATCAGAAGACTTAGGTATGGATGGGAGGATGATATTAAAACGGATGTTAAAGATTGGTGGCAGACTGTTGTAAACCCGGTAATGAACTGTCTGAGCGTAATATCGGTTTCTGAAGGCGCGCTTTGCTTTATGTTGTTTCTTAGTTACACCAGTTAGTGTGTGAATGCATAGATTCGTATTTATGTTTAGGATCACGCTACATGCAACCACGACAAGACTGTTTCAACCACTTGAGCAGTCATCAGAACCGCAGGTGGTCTTCCTTGGTGACAGTAAACCTATCAGTATGAATCCTTTGCCTTCAAGTCATCGGAGGAGAACGAGCATCAACAAATCACGCGCGAACAGTGTTCAGGAAGGCGATGACAAGGAAGAAAACGAAGTGCAAGCAAAACAGCAGCAGCACTTGAAACGTGGTCAGAGGGGGAAACTGAAGAAGATAAAAGAGAAATACAAATATCAAGATGAGGAAGAAAGGAAGCTAAGGATGGAAATTCTACAGGTACTCTCTCTTTGTCTAATTTTGGTTGTCTCCGCTATTGATATGGTCAGAATCTTTCACAAAATGGAGCTCCCGCGAGTCCATGTAATTGTACTAACAATTATACATTATCACGCAGGTTAGTTTCAGTTCTGTGTGTAACGCTGTTTGTTCATGTTTTCAGAAAAATGTGTCTGTGGTTCACTTACTACTGCTTTGAAGCAGTCATTTGATGTTCTCCGACAAAATTGTAACCTTCGTTTTCAAACTTCTAAAAGTTCATCTCAGTCTCGTCTGTGGGTCTCATTCTCTTGAGTTGTATAAGGCTGTTGAAAGAAGCATGTGGCGTCAAATATTTTGTACATTATTGGTGATCATTTACTCTGCATAAATTTTGGAAGGTGGCTGCCCTGATCATGGTGACAGTAAGGCCTTCTCAAATATCAGTCAATATCTACCAGATTTCATAGTGCAGCGTTGAACTTCGTAGTCGTCAGTGCGAAAACCTGAAATCTCACACTTGGAAATATTTTCTGTGGAATTAAGTTTCGAGAAGAGGATTTGCTCTATGTGGTATGTAGTTCTGCCTCTTTGTTAGTCTGCAGGTACTGGAAAGGACAACAAGAAGGGGAAGAAATGTAAGGTTGCAAGTGGCAAGGATTCGGCTAAAGTAGAAAAGAAGATGAACGCTCCACAGGTACCAAGAGCGGCTCCGCCTCAGAAAACCGGGGCAGATGGAGAGGAGTCGGACGGGGCGGAAGTAGTTGAGGAGGTGACGGTAACTGCTGATGTTGACATGCTGGACTCACTGACGGGATTGCCAGTACCCGAAGATGAGCTACTATTTGCTATACCTGTGGTGGCACCTTACAACACCCTCCTAAATTATAAGTAAGTGTTCTGAATCAGTAACAAGCTATATGGTCTAATACGCAGCAGAATGTTGGTGGTGGTGGTGATGGTGATGTTTGTTAAACACTGAGCTTATGCTGTATAGTCTGGTAGAAATGACTTACATTTTGTAAGTACTCGATCGTATGATGCGGGCTATAAGCACCTCTGAAATTCTGTTCAGTTTCTACCAGACTATTTGGTGCATCGTCTCAGTAGATAGCGAACTTCATACTCATTGCCACGAGAACCTGAAGTCCGACTGTACTTAAAGGCTGTTTTCTGCCATTCAACGTATCTCTCAAAAGAACACTGCACGAGGGATCGAAGAGTTTTTATACTTCATGCTTAACTTGACAGGTTTAAAGTGAAGTTGACTCCAGGCTCAGGCAAGAGGGGAAAGGCTGCAAAGACAGCAATAAACATGTTCCTGAAGGAGCGCACCACAACGGCGAGAGAAAAGGATCTCATACGAAGCGTGAAAGACGAAAACCTGGCTAGGAACCTACCGGGAAAAGTGAAGTTATCTGCTCCCCAACTGCAGAAGTTGTACAAGAAATGAAATTTTGTGCCCAGGTATGTGAAAAGAACACAGGAGTTTATTCATTGTACTCTTTCACGTTTTAGAAAAGGCGTGTGTTGATTTTACGTGCGTGTTTTACAGCCAGCAACTCTTTCAGGACACCAGAAGCGAGGCTGTGATCGGTTTGATGTCATGTCACCGCAGGATTGCTGCTGTTGCAGGTTTATAGTCTTTTTTATTTAAACTGTTTAGTTAAAGTACGTAGTGTACAATAGTTAAAAATATAAAATAGATTTATTATAGTGGGTTTCGTTGTTAACTTTATTTCCATGTAAATAAAAGGACTGCTATTTTTCTTCAACTGAACAAGAACTCATGTGATTGGATAATGATCTCAGCCAAGTCCTATCACTTTTCTTCACACGCATTTCTGCCATCACTGCACAAACTTTCCCTTCGCATTTAAGCCAATTGTGCTCATCTTCCTGAACAGCGTGATTGTTCTTTTAGTTTAGGCCTTTTGTTGTTTCTTTCATGGTCCAGAGCAGGTGGTGGTCTGAAGGGGGCCAATTCTGGACTGTACGGTGGTTGCGGGAGCACTTCCCATCAGAATTTTGCAGTTGCATCCGATGTCAGATGTGCGATATGAGGGCGTGCTTTTTTGTGTTGACTGACGACAGTGCTTTTCATGGGCGATAGGAGTATAATGACTAGCTACAGGCTGAATGACTGGGGTTTGATCCCCAATGGGGACATAGGATTTTTCCTCTAGACTCTACATCCACGCCAGCTCTGGGGCCCACCCAGCCTCCTATCCGATGGGTCTGTGGGTAAAGCACGGACAGGGCGTGATGCTGACCACTCACCCCCATCTTGTGCCGAGGTCAAGAAAGAGGAGGAGCTATACCTCCACTCCCCGCCCAAATGACCTACATGGCATGTAGCGGGATGGCTTTAATCTTTTTTTAGTTGTCAAGAAGTGTCTTTGCTGTGTTCACATGAGCTTACTATTGGATCTTATCCGAAGTCACGTGAATCAAATCCACGTCTCCGAGATCTGTTTTATTATTATCCTCCCATCTACACCAAGACCTCCCAAGTTGACTTCTCCCGTCATGTTTTGTAACTAAAATTTTGTATGTATTTTTCATCTCTCCTGTGTATGTTACATGTCCTGACCATCTTATAATCCTTGATATGATTATCCTAATAATAACTGATGAACAGTATGGATTATGAAGCTCTTCATTACGTTATGTTGCATAGTTTTGTACCTTAGTCCTCTACCTTTTTGTTACAAAACAAAGTTCTCAGGTGTAATTAAATTTTTCTATAATTTTATTATTACATACAAGTACCCATGACTTAAAGACTGCTGAGGCTTTCGGTATTCCACCACACGCTGAAGCCAGTGTCTGGTGTCAGGTATTCTGTTGTGTCTAGGAAATGGGGCTCAGATGGCATGATTTCATAAAAGCGTGTTTGCGTCAAGCATACGCATATAAAGAATTAACTTCAGTTGACATGAAATTATTGAGACATTCTCATAATTGAGGTTCTCCGTTATCAAATATGTATAATCTTTATAGAGTGAAAATTAAGGCTACTTTTTACACACAATGAATCAATAAAGAATGAAGTTTGAAATAATAACTCAATTATCAGAGGAAGGTGCTCATTCTTAGGAAGTTTTGCTGCATTATGGACATAATTAATGTTCACAGTTGTTTGAAAGTTTTTAAATATTTGAATACTGGGCTGTCTTCGTGTGAACTCTGTACAAACTTTCATGCTAACTTGTGATGGGAGGAGTGGGCTACTGAAGTGTAGATGTTAATGTGTTCTTGAGTCTTGTTCTGTGATAGTTGAAGTTGTATTGCCCCTGTGAAGGACATAAGTTGCTCATCATTTATGACTTTCATTAGTAGCACAAACAAACTTTTCCATTCCCACCATTGGCATAGATCAAGTTTTAGGCTTCTGAAGAATTGTCCCTTACAAGTTAGAAAATGTGCACAGTATTATGTGTAACTCACTGCATGAAATGAAAGTTTTTATTCCAAAAATTTTTCTGCTACAAATTTTCTAAGAAGTTGAGCATATAATGGTACAGTAAACCCTCATAATACCCCACTCATTATACCAAAGAATTGCATACACTGCAGGCATGATAATGTCTCCTAAGATGAAAATTACATAAATGTTCTTGCCTATAATGTGGGTAACATGGCCATTATCAAAGCTGTCCCAAGACACCTGCCCTATACAACAAGGGTACACTACACATGAAAACTCAAACAAACATTGCTTTTCAAGAATTTATATTTTATGCAGTAATGTTTGCCTCCTTCGTAATGATTTAATGTGATTAAGATATTACATTTGTCCTGTTATATGAATATTAATCATAAATGTATGTAATTTTTTTCTTTCCTAATTTAGCAGAGGTAGAGAGAGACCTCTGGTGGAGTTCATTCCAACAGTTGTTTTGATAAGCCGTCGTCGATGAATATTTTGTTATTGTTGTCGGTAGAGTTTTCCTGTCAGGATAAATATAGAATTCGGCGTTCCTTGGCCTGATTTTTCTTTTAACGTTGTTTTCTCATAGGTCATCAATTAAGGTGTAGGTAAATAAGGAACGTGCAGCAGTTTGATTGACTAATCATATCGATAGTTTATTAGAATATCGAATTTGGTAGAAATTTGATGTCATGACATTGGTAACCCTGGAACGTTTGTAATTCCTTCCTTGTGAGGTTCGTGTTGTGATGTTTTTCTGTATAAATTTTACGCTTTGTCAGTGATAGGAAGTGCTGAAAACACATTCTTATGCATACCGATTAAAAGTGAAGTGTCCTTTTTTATATAAAATATGAGATGACGCAGTGCTGCTGTTCAGAACTGGGTTAATTTAATTTACAGTTGGACCGGTTAATGACGCGGCATCTTACGCTCATCACCAACATTGAAATTTATAATGGTTTGTTTATTAACTCGGTTTTATGAAGAGTCTGGGGGTTAATTCCGTTAGAATGTGTTAAGTGTAACATCAAAATTCAATCACCGGTCACGCGTGAAGTTGAGTGAACTGGAATGCTTTGAATAATTTTTGGTTGCAAACAACGTCGCAGTCAAGCTGTACTCGGGAAGGCCCGGTTTCAAATCTCAGTTTTTCTTGGCTTTCCTTAGTCCCTCCAGGCAAATTCCAAAATAATACTATGAATTTGGCCAACACCTTCCAGATCTATGATTTGAATCTATAGGCTATGGTTTGAGGCACTTATGCCATAAAAAGTACTGAATTGTGTGCTTCAGGAAATTCTGGATGTTTCAAATATGGTGGGATTTGGGGATTTCTTAGGCCAATAGTAATTGTAAAAATTAATGTGGACCCATACATTAAAGTTTTGGTAATCATTCTTTATTTTTAAACTTAAAATCTTGCTTTGTGCTCCAAATTTTTTTTTGATTTATGCCTAGTATAGGCTATAGTGCTTCAGGGAGTGGGGTCATCAGTCCATAATGACAGTAATTAGCTATACATTCTCATTTGAGATAGTATCCCTGTGTGTGCGCAGAACCACATCGGTGCACACGTCTGAACACCAGGATCACAAGAGCCAAGAGGACTTCGGTAAGTAGTTTGAAGTTATGCTTGTGTCTTTACCATTTTGTGTTTTCCACAGTGAGCTACAGCCCCTCAACATGCTACTTGATATAAAATATGAGATGACGCAGTGCTGCTGTTCAGAACTGGGTTAATTTAATTGACAGTTGGACCGGTTAATGACGCGGCATCTTACGCTCATCACCAACATTGAAATTTATAATGGTTTGTTTATTAACTCGGTTTTATGAAGAGTCTGGGGGTTAATTCCGTTAGAATGTGTTAAGTGTAACATCAAAATTCAATCACCGGTCACGCGTGAAGTTGAGTGAACTGGAATGCTTTGAATAATTTTTGGTTGCAAACAACGTCGCAGTCAAGCTGTACTCGGGAAGGCCCGCTTTCAAATCTCAGTTTTTCTTGGCTTTCCTTAGTCCCTCCAGGCAAATTCCAAAATAATACTATGAATTTGGCCAACACCTTCCAGATCTATGATTTGAATCTATAGGCTATGGTTTGAGGCACATTATGCCATAAAAAGTACTGAATTGTGTGCTTCAGGAAATTCTGGATGTTTCAAATATGGTGGGATTTGGGGATTTCTTAGGCCAATAGTAATTGTAAAGATTAATGTGGACCCATACATTAAAGTTTTGGTAATCATTCTTTATTTTTAAACTTATTATCTTGCTTTGTGCTCCAAATTGTTTTGGATTTATGCCTAGTATAGGCTATAGTGCTTCAGGGAGTGGGGTCCATAATGACAGTAATTAGCTATACATTCTCATTTGGGATAATATCCCTGTGTGTGCGCAGAACCACATCGGTCGACATTGCGCTGGCCCAGCTCAGTTTCCAAGAACGCCCGCAGCGCCACAAATTGAAGGCCATTTAGAGATATTATTAAATAGATGAGCTACAACATTTATCGCATTTTTAATGTGTTGACGGTAAAATATTGTGTTAGAGAGCAGTGGTCGATTCTTCCTCGGAAGTAATTTTCAGTTGAGGTTATAGGAGGTCTATGTGTTTCGGCGCTAGTAAGACGTGTAGAATAGAATTGATATGAGATAGCATTTAATAAATGGAATTGATGCTGTGAGGAAGATTTTGCTACACATTGCAGATTGTTCTTCTATTCGGTGCCACTTTCTTTTATGTTTTTGTCTTTCATGTTCAGAAGAAACATGAAGAAAGATGCGGATTGGTTCATCATCTGTTGACAAAGAGAAAGGACACGGTGTTTAAACAGCAGTTGAACTAAAGGAAAATAATTAATATAATGGGGCATGGCAGCCTTGCCGAAATTTTATTATTGATTCCTGGCGTTTATGTATTTTCAGCATTTTAATAGGAATTTAAACACGATTGGCTACGAACTATGTTCTAGTGCCAGTAGCTGATCTGCAGAAAGACAAATTGCAGTGAAACTTAATCGTACATTCAAGTATTTAGTTTAGGAAGATTCTTCTTACATTCATCATGGTCTTGTTGGAGACTGGAACAAACTTGCCAGCTGTGAGTGTAAACTCCTTGTTGGCCGCGGCGATGATGAAGATCAGACAGCGTTGGAAGGAGACGGGAGTTCCCACCCAGTCGCACCCCCAGGCCGCGTCTCTGACACTTTCAGCCTGAAACAGTTGACGTGTAATTATAACGGACATACCTGGCCATTATTTAAGAATAAAATTACGACATGATGTTTCTGTAAATTGTCACTTACTTGTTCTGAAAGCTGTGTCCCAAGACTGCAGAATATAAATGTGCTTCCCATCATCAATCCGTAAACATACGCGGCTTGTGCCAGATCGGTGTGGTCTCCCAGACTCTGCAGAAAACAACGGGTATTGAAACCAGCAGACGTCTTAAGGTCTTAGTGAATTACACTCATACCGCGTGTTATGTTCGTAAGGCGTGGTCTCGTCACGTCCTTTGTTTAATCATACCATTGTATTTGGCACAGTTGCTATATTCTTATTTTATATTTAGAAACTATATTGGGAAATGTTTGATACTGTTGAACAGGCTGAAAGTGGACCCACCATTCATACAGTAGCTAGACTAAAACACACGTTACCATGACAGCGGAGAATGCGATGAAACACATTGTGATTAGCATCATCAGGAACAAACCGCATAACGTGAAGTTCATTGTGTCTTCTAGTGCGCTCATGTACCTGAAATTGAGCAGAATTAAGATGAGATCGTCCGAAATAGACTCTTTTTTGCCGTAACTGATGGCTGTCAACTTTCAAGTAAAATTTCTGTGTTCAAGAAATCTTTCATTGTTGGCCATAATCAAGGCCTTCTTGTAGGTCCCTGATGTCACAAAGGCCCTGGGTCCTTAGAGAGGATTAACCTCTTTAATAAGTATATTGCCCTTAGATCTGGGCCTCATGGGCATCTTCTTTGGGTGTAGGGACTGAAAGTACACTGGTTTCCATAAACCCCAAATGACTTCCATCATTACTCTTTTATTCAAACATTCTGTTATCATTCCATGAGAACCTTTGGAACATATGTCACCATGCACAGAACCCCATGCTGGTGGGAGGTATTAACATGCCTGGGTGCTACCTGGTACCCTGAAGGGATCACTGGCAATACTGCTGTCATCACTTAGGTGCCATGTAGCCCTTGTCATGATACTTCACACCTTGGCTTTGGTGGACCCCCTCCATAATAAGGACACCAAGGGTCAGATTTTTGAGGGGTTTTCAAGTACAGTCAAACCTCAGTTCACGAACTTAATTCATTCCTGAAGGTCGTTCGTAAACCGAAACTATTTTCCCCATAGGAATTAATGTAAAATGGATTAATCCGTTTCTCGACCCCAGATGATTGCTTATTTAAAATTTTACAACACTACTTTGTGCACAAGTTCTTAAGACAAAATCAATGGAAACCATTAAATCTATCACAAAAAAGATAAACACAACACTAACCAGATCAAATATAGACGAAAACTTAATTTAGTTTTACTGTACCTGTATGGAGGAGAGTTGACGGCGTAAGTGGAAGGTGGTGAGGAAGTGAAATGTCATTGTTTGGAAGGGGATTCTTTTTTCTGTCTCTTGGCACTACTCGACTCTGCATCAGACTCACTGGGCCTCTGTCTCACTAAAATGTTGTCCAGTGTGATTTGTTTTTGTCTACGTTTTAAAATGTTTCTAAAGTGACACATGGCATTATCATTGAAAATGTTTATGCCTCGGCTTGCTACTGCTTTATCAGGGTTATATCGTTCCATGAAACTTTGCACCTCATGCCATTTTGCACAAATTTCACGGATCAAAGAAGTAGGAACATCCTCCCTTCCTTCCTCTTCCTCTGAAGACATTTCCTTCACAATCGCCTTTTGTAGCTGCATCTGTAGTTGTTCCAGTTCTTCCGTGCTGAGTTTATCTTTGTGGTCCTGTAGTAACTCCTCCACATCTTCATTGTTAACTTCCAAGCCCATGTTTTTGCCTAGAGACACAATATCATCGATAACAGCAGAATCTTCGTTGTCAAAGCCCTCAAAGTCTCTGCCTGCAACACATTCTGGCCACAGTTTCCTCCAGGCTGAATTCATGGTCCTGTAAGTCACTTGCTGCCAGGCTTTGTCAATGAGAGTTAAGCAATGAAGAATATTAAAATGGTGTTTCCAAAAGTTTCTGAGTGTTAATTCTGTGTCAGAGGTTACCTCAAAACATCTTTGAAAAAGTGCCTTAGTATAGAGCTTCTTAAAGTTTGAAATGACCTGATGATCCATGGGCTGTATTAGAGGAGTCATGTTAGGAAGCAGGAACTTCACTGTAATAAAATCTAACTCTTCCATCAACTCGTCTGCCAAGCCAGGAGGGTGAGCAGGTGCATTATCCATCACAAGAAGGCACTTCAGTGGCAAATTGTTTTCTTGCAAGCATTTCTTCACACTTGGGGCAAAGACTTCATGAATCCACTCAATAAAACATTGCCTAGTTACTCAAGCCTTACTATTAGCCCTCCACATAACTGGCAATTTACTTTTTATCACATTGTTTTTCTTAAACACCCTCGGATTCTCTGAGTGGTACACGAGTAATGGATTGATCTTGAAGTCCCCACTTGCATTTCCACATAGCAAAAGAGTCAGTCTGTCCTTCATTGGTTTGTGTCCCGGTAATGCTTTCTCCTCTTGGGTGATGTATGTCCTCCTTGGCATTTTTTCCAGAACAGACCGGTTTCGTCACAGTTAAACACTTGCTGGGGAATGAATCCATTAGCTTTTACATAGTCACTAAAATCTTGCACAAATTCCTCAGCAGCTTTTTGGTTCGCACTCGCAGACTCCCCATGCCTAGCCACACTATGTATGCCAGTTCTTTTCTTAAATTTCTCAAACCATCCTCTGCTAGCTTTGAAAACATCAATATCACCACTAGTACCAGGATACTTTTTTACCAGGTCATCATGCAATCGCCTTGCTTTTTCACAAATCATACCCTCAGAATCACTGTTACTAGCTGACATATTGTAGTTTATCCAAATTAGCAGCAATTTCTTGAGAGCACCATTTACTTGATATATAGGCTTAAATATCACTTTAATTTTTAAATACATTAAATTGTAACTTTTATCGTCATGTGGGTTCAAATTTCTTTACATTAATAGTTGATTGGATGGAATTGTCACGTCGCAACTTAGTTCCGATGCTTTTGAATCAGATAACAAAATTACAGGAGCATTATCTTACCTGCGAAAGAATTATTAATTCGTACACTGGGGTAGTAGAAGAGTCGAAAGGATACCACGCTCTGAACACGAACTCGTGAGAGACAGCTATTCGCACGGATGTCTGGATCACGTGATACACGATGGTGAAAATAAAGAAGTTTTTGCTGACGTTCTGAATGTGCGTTATCAGTCCACCCCACGTATGTCGTCCAGTGTCAGGATCTTTGTTCGGCACGTCTTCCCATGTGAAGAGTTCAGTGAGATGAATCAACCACTCAAATTTGACCATACGGAATCTGAAATCCATAACAAATTAGTGTTTTCGAGAAAGAGCTAGGCGTTCACGTACGTCCACTTAAGTTAATGCTGAACGTGTGTTCAAGGTCTGAAGTTGGCTGTTTTCTGGAATGATGCGCCATGTAGTCTGGTAGAAATTTATTGACGTTTCAGAGGCACTTACCCTATTAATAGAGGAAGCCAATATATCTGAGACGCATCTGAGTAAAAAAAAAACCTAGCTGTATCATCATCACTGTTCTTGTGTGCTAAAACAAGTTGTTATTAAAATATTTATCTTGGAACACATTAATAATATTTCATTTGCACGTAATTGTATCCGATCTTGTAAGAACTACCTGATATTGAAATACATCCAGAAAATTAGCACGCTGGAAAGAATGACACGAAATGTCTTCATGGCTTCCTGTAAGTCGTCACTGTTTAGGACGTTGTCCATTATCATAGCGAGAAACGTGATATAAGAGCAGATCATCACCACAGAGTTGTACATGCAGTTGATCCTTGATGGACTCTCGACGCAAATGGAGACACCACCCAAACGCAGCAAGAATAAAGTTACGCGGAAACGGTTCTCAGTCAGTTTACTTGTGTTTGGTTGCGTTGTTTCCATATTGTAACTAATTTGCCAGAAAGAATAATAATTTACGTCGTGTTGTTGAATGCTATCACACCGGAAGGAACCTATGATAGGCAGATCGACAGTTCAACTGAAGGCACGTCTCTATATACAGTGTCGTGTTGCGTACAATATTTATGGCCCACGAAGGCCGTCTCTGTTGGTTCCTGCGGTAAATGCGCGATTGTTATGGGCGGGGTCCGTGAGTACTTGTCTTTTTTCTGGAAATTTAAAGCAGCATTAGCAAAGTTGTCTTATTGGAAAAGAGATTAATTGATCAATGATATAAAACTTATTTTGAGTGAAATACTGGTTGATTGAAACTTTTTTGGAATTTGTTCTATGCACAAAGTAATGCCATGGTATAATTTATTTGAGGAGGACTTAGTGTAATTATATTTATTAGTACTACCAGACGTTCCTTTGCGTTTGCTGTAATTTTCGATTCTCACGGTATTTTACTTAATTTTGTTAGCAAACTTTAGTTTTCTCTAATTATCAATAACATTATGGCTTGGGCCATTTGGCTTCTTCCGCATTTAGGATTAAGATATGCCCTTCCAACGTGTCTTGAACATTTCGTCTTGTTATGTTTGTGCAGTTCAGGATAAAATTTGGATTCATCCTTTATTTCCCGTGTAACTGTGTATTGGCCTATATAGTTGCGGATGGTCCTGATAATATTCAATTAATTTCTTGTCTTGGAATGAAGGTTTCTTACCTGAGAGTACACACACATACACAAACACAAACAAAAGCCAAAGTGTCAGAGGTGATATTGTGAATTGTGACGAGGTATTGACTTGAAGGTACGTGCCAACATTTTGGAGGATCATACTGACTCCATCTTCATGGCAGAAGATGAATTATGTTACTCCGGAACTTTGGTATCTACCAACATGTCTTCATAGCACCAATATTGGCACCTCACCGCTGTGAGAACCCGATATCTCTTAATGTGCCTTAAGTCAGACACACATACTTAAGTCGGTTCATATTAATGCACGGATTCACGTCTCACAGTTCGGAGCGACAATTTCTGTTGGTCTGTTGGAGAATTTCTTTTAAATCTGTTGTATTTTGTGCCTAAATAATTGTTTCTTCTATTTCAGCTGTTGACGACGAGGAAACCGCAGTGGGAGGGGGAGGATGAGGGAGAATGGTGGTGAGTAGAATGTGTTTCTCCTCTACAAGCTTTTCAAGTTTCTTCCCTTCTTATTATACACATGTGCCCACGTCCCAAGAGCTAGGTCCAACGACGGTAATGTTGAAGTTCGCGGAGATAAATCGACATCCAGAAGTACACTGTAACATCGATTAGTAATTGGATAGAAATGGATTCTTTAAGCTGGATTTATTGTCTGCACTCTTGCAATGAATTACTCTTTGTCCCTGCAGTCTCTTGGTCTGTGAATCAGAATTGAAATAATTGTTTTCTTCTACACTCTAAGTTGGTTAGTCTGTCCTGCTCCATTGCGCCTTAATGATCACTTCTTGTCTTGTTCAGCAAAACTGCTTTCGCAGTCCAGAGGCTGGTAAATGTTAGGGAACAATTTATTGGCCTCCAGACGCCGCTCGTTTCTGCCACACTGTTCCCCGGACATATTACTAGAAGCTTCGAGAATTATGCGCGCGCATCATTTCCTTTCCCGCCCGGAGTCACGTGACAGCTGTTCGTGCTAAAATACATTTCCGAAACCTGATCTAGTGCTTGTTGCTGGATATTTTTTTTTACAGTGAAATTTAGCATTCCGGACTTTTTGCTTGTGACTTGGTGGGTGGACAGATAAGCAGCTATCGTATCTTCAGGGCAAGTTTGTACCCCATTCTTGTTTGTGAGGTAACACCCACCCAAGAAGAGCACGACTAGATGTGATGTGAAATGATTGCAAAGCTTCATTGTTTTGTAGAAAATTACGTAATTTTATATTCCGTGCTTCTTTCCATTAGTTGTGTCTTTCATTTGAAGAAGGAACATAAAGAAAGAGACGGTCTGGCTCAGGATCTGTGGACAGGCAATAATTATTATATTAATTACACAAATCAGTGAATTAGCTGCGTTCGAGAACAAAGTTCTGAGGAAAACATTTTTACCCAAGAGGGAGGAAGCAGCAGGGACGTGGAAACAGTTACACTCTAAGAGGTCTCATAATTTGTAGTCCTTGCTAGGTATTATTAATAAGATTAGGTTTAGGATGCTGAGATCCGTAGGACTTGCAGATCGTATGGGAAATGACACATACATACAGGATTTCAGCCGAAAAATCTGAAACGTAAGAGTTAACTAGGATTACCTGGGCATAGACAGGAGGATAATAGTTAAACGAAGTTTAAAGTAATAAGATTTGAGAATTTTGAGTGGATTCAAATGGCTTAGGATGGGAACCACTGACGGGTTCTCGTGAACACATCAATGAACCTGCGGGCGTTTGCTAATGACGTCTGATCTCTCAATAGCAGTGTTTGTTTTGTGGGAATAGTGTCTTATATCTTATTACAGGGAATTCTCGAAAATTTAATCGATACCAACATTAAATATTGAAGCACAGGAATTTGTTATGGCCGATACTACCCCGTGGTTTTATTTACAGATCAAATTTTCCTCGTCCCAAAGATTAGTCCCGTTGTTCTGATATTTAATATAATTTAGTTTCTGTTATTATTTGTGCACCTTAAACCAAACTAACAATAAGATCAACGATGTTGTTCTGGATTTTGACGCCGTGTGGATTCGCATGCACGCATATATATGGCGGAGGGAAACCTAGAATATCAATACAGTCATCCTTACCGCCTTGAGGACCTCAATTCTAGAAAAAGATAATATTTCTGAACATTTTTCAAACACTTTAGACTTGAGCTTAATATGATTACTTAGAAATTCAGCGACATACCCATTATTCGTTGTGTACACTTCAAGGCATACGCATTCCTTACGAATTACAATATGAGAACTGAGTTGCAGAATTTTCGCACCTTCTGTTTTACATTTTATGGTACAGCATCTCAGAAAACATTTCTGAGTAGTAATGATCTTACATTCATCATGGTCTTGTTGGAGACTGGAACAAACTTGCCAGCCGTGAGTGTAAACTCCTTGTTGGCCGCGGCGATGATGAACATCAGACAGCGCTGGAACGGGACGGGAGTTCCCACCCAGTCGCACCCCCAGGCCGCGTCTCTAACACTTTCAGCCTGGTAGAAATTCACATAGAGTTGGAGTATCCGAGAGTGTGTTATATATTATACCTATTTTATCGAAACAGTTCTTTTATAAAATTTACTTGTAATAATTGAGTTATTACCTCTTTGGACAACTCAGTTCCAAGCCAGCAGAACACGCAAAGACAGCTCAGCATTGCTAAATATATAACAACAGCCTGCGATACATCTACGTGGTCACCCCAGCTCTGTGCGAAAGAGATAATGCGTGAAGTCGAAACGAGCGAACAGGTATTTTTCTGGATTTTGAGTCAAAAATACTATTATACGCGACGTTACATTCTTGTCATTCTGAAATTAGTTGCGGTTTTTAATAAATAATATGAACAAATTTGAATTCTGTGGTAAATAGTTTACTGTAGGCGTAAATGAGATAAGAACTTTAAATTTAAAGACGTAAGTAAATACGAACATTAACATGTTCTGATTCAAATTAAGTGAATACTTTACCGTAATAGCAGAGAACGCAACAAAACACATCGCTGATAGCATAAGAAGGAATAAAGCGCACAGTACGAAGTTCCAACAATCTTCATTCGCCTGCATGAACCTGCATATAGAAATGAAAAACTAAATATCAAATCACTAACTCGGTTACAGCCTTACATCCGCTTGAAATGTAGATTTTATTGCATCATACCGTTTTATCTGCTGGTGGTGCCTTATGCAGTCGTTCAGTTGTTTTTGCATGTGACCGAACAGTTCCTCAGGGGTGAGGGGATGTCCCTCTCCATCCTGTTTGTTGGTCTCTGCCCCACACTCCTGTTGTAATGTGATATATGTCTGTCTGATGTCCAGTATGGCCGCCCTGAGTTTCTCCAGCTGACTGCAGGCCACACATATGAACGTAGCGTACAGACTGAGGAAGCCAGCGAATGCACATGTGATGAAGAGCGATCCTATGGCCTTTGAGAACAGAAACTGTTTTTAATATGACAAAGGAAAAAAATCTAAACGAATTATCATTAACTTTGGACCAGGCAGCTTTTACGGAAAGGCAGAATGTGTTTGGATTTTTGGTGGACGACAAACCCATGTTAGAACTGATCTGAGTCGAACCCTGTCTGTTTTATGAGATCTCAAATCTAAATTATCTCACTTTATTGCTGTTAATTTTCCATAGATTAGCGTTAATGATTTTCTTTATAAAATAAGATACACTATCCTTTGGTACTCATTTACTGTGTTAAATTTTTTGAAATTTGTCTACCCGTGGTTCATGTCGAGGTGTTTGATGACACATCTTGTGTTTATACATAAGTATCCTAAATTCTCAGGCGGGCGAAACCAAACTTTTAATGATTGTAAACAGTGTGGGAATCAAAATAAATTGTATTTTTCTGCATATAGATAGGGTATGGCATTGTATTTGTAGTTTTGCATGAATATTAACCCTTCACAGCCTAATGATAACTGTGTGTACCACCTTACTTAACAATCAGTAACTCTGCGTTTTGCATTTATGTATTTCGTACGATTCTCACAGTAAACAGCGATTATTTCCCTGAACAGCGTTAACCAGTCGATCTTTAAATGTTATTTAGACGAGTTTTAACTTTAAAGGGCTGAACACATTTACTGATTACAAGGAATTGTGTCGAACGTAAAGTACATGTGTTCTGACAGAGAAAGTTATAAAATCGAGATGGAGTTAGGACAAAATAATTTTACATCCGAATGCAGGAAATAATAAACACAAGTACTTAGTCCTCTTATAATATTCAAGGCTTTTACAAGAATCTGTTTAAATAATTAGATACTCGCCCAAAGTAAAATCTTGTAACATTACCTACCTTGGTATAACGACTTCCGGAAGCCCGATATTATATAAGCATGTTTCTAATTACCTGTACTAAATTTACAGCAGCGTACGCTGGGTTCACTGTTGTGTCGAACGGAAACCAGGCAGGGAATACTTTGTCGTGACTGGTCGCTATGCGAACAGAACTCTGAACAAAGTGGAATGTGTAGATGAGAGCGGAAGCATGTGATGCAATTTTCTGAGTGACGGGCAGGTATCCGGCCTTCGTCAGGCGCCCGGTCTCAGGATCTTTCGTGGGCAGTTCTTCCCAGGTGAAGGAATCAGTCAGGGCAAGCAGATGCGCGATTTCACGTTTGCGAAATCTAAAACAGAAATTCATTCACACACTTTACAGTCCACGTTTTATGTTCGCGGTACCTGAAATTCAGTGCTTAGAAATAATTACGGATTTCTTGACTGCTTGGGCGACCGATGGCTCATCAAGAAATACTCCTCTTGATGTTGTTAGTTAATAATTTAATCTCTGCGTCATCATAACATAGGCCTAATGTTTTAGTTAGGTGGGATTTTAGGTTCTCACGGCTGCGAGTATGAACATGGCTGTCTTCTGGGATGTTGCGCGATGTTTTCTGGTAGACGTGTACGGACGTTTCAGAGATGTTTTGCTGCCTCCATCGTCATGGTGTTTGCCCTGATGATTGAGGCAGCAGTCCCCTCTGAAACGTCGGTAAACTTGTGCCATACTGCATGGCACAGCATTCCAGAAGACAGTAATCTTTTTATTTTTGCTGGCTTTGTGCTGATGGTGTCACCTTTATATTATAAAACAAAATACAATTAAATTTTCGAGCATGTACCTTACGATGCGTTTGTTGAATTACCATTATATAGTAGAGCACTGTTCTGTTTTTTAAAAAAAACACATTATGGTATAGCGTGGTGAAATCTGAGGTACCTGAAGAATAAATGTATCCATACGACAAGCTGCATTCCAAGTAATGCTCGAATGTCCTTCATTATGCCCATTAAACTGTCATTATTAAACAGGAGGTCCATCAAACAGGCAGAATACGTAATATAAAAGCACACGACAACGATACAATTATATACAGTGTGAGCTCTTGATATTGAACGTACGTTGAGCGGAATTCCCACCAATCTTAACGTAAACAGACTTTTACGAAATCGTTGCTCTGTCAGGCCATTCACACGTAAGTGTTGATCAGTCATAATTTAAGTGGTCGCCTATGGAAACATGGAGGCCTGTTATTGTACTGTAGCGTTGTTTTATCCTTGTCACCGCCTTTCACACTGAAGATGAGAAATTCAACTGACGGCTTCATAACTCAGCACCGTTTATATGTGCGACGACGTCCGATCAATCCAATTAAGTGTACAATATTGATAAGTCGTGAAGATAGACTCGGTGCAGAGACTCGTATTTCTTTGCGTGTCAGAAGAGGGTGGCAACTCTTAATAGACTAATTCTAAAGCTTTCGTGTGCTTTAACTTTCCTCGGAAGTCGTAAAACAGAGCAATGTTTCAGCATTCAATATCGTGTTCAATTTATGACATTAAGAAGTTGAATTTTGAAAAGACGTGGGAAATTGTTAATGTTTGTCAGAACTTGACTTCTCTCCCCTAAAATCATATAAAATCTATTAATTTTGTTGTGGTGTTCGGAGTTTGTTTTGTTTTAATCGTCCCCAATATTTTCCTTTGCCTTGTAACAACTCCTCTTTTCAATTGTCACCTCTCACCCATCTGAAAACTAATTAAACCAGCATTTCGCATTTTGTTTTTTTTATCAGAATGCCAGTCTCTGTGTAAATGCATTAGCCTGTTTTGATAGTACTCTGTTGGTGATCTGCAGAGTTTAATCGGTTAGGAAAAGTACGCATAGCATAAGAATTCTGACGCGTTCGCTATGATCTTGCCTGTAGATTTTTTTTTTAAAATTTGTGATCACTTACTTTTGATGTTGTCTTACAAATAGCGTAAAATAGGCTGGGCGGAGGAAGAAGGCCTTTGTGTGTGACATGAAATTTGGTCAAAATCAATCTAAAATGTGTTTAATCTTTTTTTATACAATGTTTGTTCGACACATTTCTCGCTCAGATAAATATTTAGCGAATTACGCTCAAGATGGGCATGTTGACGAATTTTGGTAAGCTCCCAATATAAAATTTCACTAAAACCTGTCTCTCGATTGTCGAGTTGTTACATTCGGACAGACGACTGACATAGGGACAAATAGCGGGG